CACGAGACATGCATTATATATTATTTATTACTTTATTACGATGCGACTGCAGAGATGATCGCATAATACACACACATACTTATACATACCTATAATCATACTCACATTTCACATAATTACACGACATGACACGACACATACCTACACGCGTAAGACGCTGATCGCAGTATACGCACTTACACACACACGATACATACTTCCATACTCACTTCATACTTCATTTTTACACGTGACATGCATATCGCAGACACGCGATACCCATACGCAGATGCCAATCACAGACACGCATCGACACAATATACACACGTATACATACCTATACTTCATATTTACATTTTCATACTATACTACGTCGGGCACACAGTAGTCAACACAATATCATAAGATACGCATAAGACATACGTACGATATTATATACGTAGAATACATTGTGATCATATCTCAAGAGATACACTTGCCCTACACGTACATGCATACGCATACGCATACATTACGCGCACGCGAATGCGCACGGACTTCCACACAATGCTACACATATACCTACAACTCATACTTCATACTCATACTCACTCTTATTACGCACACGCTACACGGCACGCACCACATATGCGCTGCCACGATACACACGACACTTAATACCACATTTTCATACTACATACGCACATGCACACGCACACGCACACCCACACGCGCACGCGAACGCGCACACGCACCCACACACACACACGCATACACACCCACACTCACACTCACACTCACACTCACACGCACATGCACACGCACACGCACACCCACACGCGCACGCGAACGCGCACACGCACCCACACACAAACACACACACACGCATACACATGTCATATGTTGTTCGCGAATTTCTGAGCGTCGCAAGGTGATGGGCTGGCAGATTGGCCGAGACGTGCCTTTTGCAGAGGCCTTCGGAGCGAGGGAAATGCCCAGCGAAGTGCTTCAAGTCCCTCGGGCTTTGTCCCTACATGGGAACCAACCCCGTCCCACAACCCGCAAGTTTGCCAAGTAGGTGTGTTTTTTTGAGGGCACCCACCAAAGGAAAATCCATTTTTGGGGCATTCCCCCCAAACAAAGACACACCCCTGTGAGTCAAAATCAAAACTGGGGCCCGAGGAAACCTTGAAACCTTGGGGACAATTGCCGTGCCCCTACTACTTAACAACATATCATATCCTTTACCTTTTGTGGGGGTTGTCAAAGCCCAGCCCAGAATTCACACATGGGTAGCAGATTGGTTTTGCCAAGCGCATCATTTCGACCCTGCCAGACGTTCCAACAATCCTTTTGAGTGTCTTTTCTTGAGGTTTCTAGTTTTGGTTTTTTCCACGGTATTCGGCTCTGTTCTGGAAGGAGGTGTGGACAGAACAGGGATGTCACCACTAGACAAAGAGGAAACTTGCGGGCTTCTTTGTGAGTGCCCTCCCTCCCACTAGCATTACAGCTGTCGGGGAAATGGTTCCAGAAGAATCCATGTAACCTTCAGGTGCCACCAAGGAATACGGAATGTTATTAGGGCAACCCGAAGGGAAAGCGCGGGGTTGTTTGCTTGGTCGGATTGAGCTTTTTGGGGAATGTTCAAGAGGGGAGCTGCCGCGGTCCAGCCATATTGTCACGTGCCGACCAGAAACCAGCTTCAGGAGGTCCGAGAACGGTGCCCTAGTGGGACTCATGTGGGGGGCGCATCCAATCCTCGATTGCGCTTGGGGGTGAGGCTGGGGTTGCACAATTGAACCTGCTGAAAACATGATTCAAACAGTGCTGGTTGAACATTGCCCGAGTGGAGTGAGTGACGTGAGAAGGGGCTGCATATATGGGGTTTTCAATCATCGTTTTTTTGTTTGTTTCTGTTTCAAGTCCATGTCAACATGTTCTCAAGTTTGTTTGTTTGTTTGTTTTTGTTTTTGTGTGTGTGTGAGTTTTTTGGTTTTAAGTCCATGGCAGCATCTTTGTAATTTTGCAACGGAGCCTCGGGGGTTGTGAGCCACTGACTGAAGCTGCAGGCAGGCGGCCACTCACTCTTCGCCATGAGGACGGGCGACTGGCGTCGGGGAGATGCTGCTGTGTCCCGGGAATCGGTGCCACACAAATAGCTCTCCGGGCAAGCGAACTGAGTCCCAACAGTTGCGGAGCTCTCTTGAGTCTTTATCATGGGTAGACCCGTTTTAGCACTTTTGTGCTCGCGATACCGAATCTTTGGGCTTGGGGTTAACTAAACTTCAGCAAGTAGCCTCGCCTCATGTGTGGGCTCCTCTGAAACTCGGATTTGTCCGACGCCCCTAAAAGTTTGTCCAAGTTTATTTGGGCGTGTCGAGAGACAAACCTGCGCCGCCCTGGTTGGGCCAGCAAACACTCACTGAACGATTGTTTTGCCAGTCAAGCCTACTTGAGGCCCCTTGCCCTAACTTTGATGTCAAGCAAGTGATCATCATATGATCTAAAGGTGTGATGTTGTGCTCATGCCCCAAAATGAACGAGGCAGCTGGCGCAAGCCAATCTTTCGCACGGAAGAAGATTGGGACAATGCATCTGCGATTGAAGCAAGGATTCCCGCACAAGCAAGTAAATTGTTGGGTAAGCGCGATAGTGAGCATGTGAGCTATGCGCCTTGGCTCGCGTAGGTACAGCTGGGCGAAGGAGATCAATTGGACCATCACGACCTTGTGACCACTGGCAGATTTGTGGCACCCCATTCTTTATTTCAGAGGAAAAGACTGGATGCATGGATCGGACAAAAAGGATATCCGGCGAATACAATTTGAAGTCGGCGAGTCGAGCCGAATTTCTTCTTGGAACCCCAACTCCTCGTATTCCCTTCATGGGCCCAGAAAGCAATACACAACACACACACACACACACACACACTTGCCCTCAAAGCACCTGGTTTGGCAAATTGTGGTTGAGAAGCAAGAAAGACAAAGCACTTGACTTGCCAGAACACTCGCCTGTTCTGGTCCGACAGTCCAAACATCTGGTGGAAGCGAAACCATCCGAGAAGTCGCCCCGGAACCCGTGAACCCGAAGAATTCGCCAGGATAGCGAAGCTGCTGGATATCTCGCCGGCGGATTTGTTCAAATATCCCAGCATCTCCTCCTTGGCATCGTTCCTGAAGGCCGGTTTTTGCGACTTCCAGCAGCACGTGTTACAACGAATGGCCCCCTTTACAGGGAACCAACCATAGGTTGTTAAGGATCCTTCAGTGTGAAGTCACCAATGTGGCGGCCGGGGGTTGCAAACCAGGATGTTAGCACGGAACTGCCAGCGCAAGTTGGCCCTCCAAGAGGTGTGAAGTTGTGGTTCAATCGCTTTTCACCCCTGAATCAAGGAGCTACTTTGGATGTCCGAGTTATAGAAGAGAACGCAGGGTGGAATTCTCTTTTGGGGGCAGTTCAACTGCTTTCAGGATTACAGATGTTTGAAAGGATTAAACCTGAAGTCCTGTCTTGCGGGATACCCCGAAGAGACGCTGGCCTGTTGCAACTTCTGCACACCAAGGGCGGCTGAAGGAAAGCCCCTGAACCCTAGGTCTGTGGGAGAGGGATGTGGACCTTGAAACCACCAGCTGTTCTCTCGTCACTTGCACCCCATTTTCTATTGTTGGGTTGCCCAACATCGAAGATGGTCGTCGGGTACCTTCAATGTGATTCCGGGGAATCACAAATTGGACAGTTCGCAGGCGAGCGCCGGGGACACCAGCCCGGCGCTGCCCATGGAGCTGCCAGCTCCGCAATTCCAGTTTCCAGCAGGTGCGGCCGGCTGATCCTTCACAAATTGGACGGACCCCGGAAGATTCCTCACCTGCTTCCTTTGCGTCCTACGCATTTGAGTTGAACTAAGTAATCCCAGAGGTTTGTGCATGTTGAAATCGGGAGCTGCCAAAGGGTGTCACTCTTTGGTTTCCGCAAAGTGAGATGAACTAGCCATGAGAGACCCTCAGTTAGTTTACTTGCTTATGTACAGTTGGAGTTCAACATTACCAGCTGTCCTTTTCTCCATGCGCTGGGAAAATTGGGCAGTTCAAGGAAACATGGCTTACATGCTATATCACCATATTTCGCAGGTTTCCTTTTTGGCAGTGAGCGCTGAGTTTTCCTGTAAAAACACCTTTGTTTGCTGGGTGTTAGCCAGGCGCGGAGCAGTCTGTCATTTGCATAATCTGTGCAAACAATGGAAATGCGAAGCACAGCTTCTTACCCGTTTGCTCTCTAGCAATCTTTTGTCTAGAGTCAAGTCTTTTTCCGATACCCTCTAGCCAAATGTCCATGAGAGCTGAAAACTGACGTATGAAGAGTTGAAGGAGCGTATCTAGAACAAACAGAAATAACTATCTGACACTACCAATCGATGGGGCCGCACAGCAAATGGATTTGGCTAGGTAGGCACAATCTCCAGCCCAAATCGATGCTAGTCCGGCACGATATTTTTTTTTTGTGCGGGAGGTCCCAACTAACCCTCAGTAAATTGAGAATTCCAAACAAATCTCGAGATGTCCTCGATTTTTTAGGAATTCCCAAGAGCTCCCAAAGAACCTTCCGTAAATGCAAACTTCAAGAACAACTCAGTACAGGCAAGATTCGCACCGCTACCGATTTTTCCATGCAATATTCCAAAAACCTCAAGAGCTCCAAAATTTCGCAAAGTCTCAGCAACTATGTTTTGAGATGGAATTTCCCAAAAGACGCTCAGCAAATGAAAGTTTCCCACCAAACTTCAACATTTTGGGGGAACTCCCAACAAGTCATAAAACAAGCCACAAACGCAAGATGTCCAACAAACCTCGAGAATTCCACACAAACAAAGGTTGCCCAAATTCCCAAAGTCCCAACAACTATGTCTGGGATGGAAGTTCCCCAACAACTCTCGGTAGATACAATATTCCCAAACAACTCGATATTATTTGGGGAATTCCAAACAATCCCAACAAACCCTCAGCAAATGCAAGAGTCCAAAACAATCCTCGCGAATTCCCAAAACTTCCGAAATCCCCAACATTTCAAAATCTCAGCAACTATGTCTGGGATGGAAGTTCCCAAAAGACCCTCAGCAAGTGCAAGATTCCAAGAAAACCTCGAGATGTTTAGGGAATTTCCAAAAAAGACAGAAACACCTCTCGAATTCCACAAAAAACACAATTATCAAAGTCTCAGCAAAAATGCCGAAAATGGATAATTATGAAATGCCTTCGAGTTTCTTGAAATTCAAAAAAAAAGACTCCAGTAAATGCAAGATTCCCATAAAACCTCGAGAATTTCGAAAAATCCCAAACTCTGAAGCAACTATGTCGGGGATTCAAATTCCCCAAACACTTGTGTGTGTGTGTCTTCCCTTTTGGGGGAGTTTCCAAACATATTCAGTTGTTCAGGTTGCATTTACTGAGGGAATTCTGGGAATTCTTGATTTTTTGGAATTGTGCATCTATTGCGAGTTTTTTTGTTTTTAGCGAGTGTTGTTTGAATTTCCCTAAAATATTGAGTTTTTTGGGGAATGTTGCTGTTGCTGAGTGTTTGTTGATTTCTTGGGAATTCCCAAACATATCATGTCCCATTTATGTATACATAAAGCATAATGTTTGCCTTTTTCAAGGACGTGGAAAAGTTCGGCGCTTACAGCGCTGCTTTCAGTTTTTATTAAGCGAGAACGACCGGGTTGAAGCCTTGTTTTGGGTAAGCGACAAATGAAACCCCCGAGACCCGCAGATTTGGCCTTAGCTGCGTTAGTCGACCTCTGAGTGCTGTGTTGACCGGTTTCTGGTGTTGGCGATTAGCTGATTCGCTTGTTGAGCAACGCTCAATATTTACCGTCATCTAAGGTACCCTCCCACTAATCAACGAGGAACCTGACTGGGACCCGGTCTCTGTAAAAGGAACCAATGCCTTCCACCCCGCGAAAGTCAGATTCCATGTTACTTGGTGGGAGAACAGACCTGGCGCAGTCACCAAATTAGAAATTCGGTCACCGAATTCTCAGATCAAAGGACCCGGGATATCAGTCTTTCGGGGCCCACAAGTCCCCGGACGTTGGGACGTCGGGGAAAAAAACCCTTGGAAATCCGAACCGCAGGGTTCAAACCACAGCTCAAACAAAGGTTGGGTTCATACAACTTGGGATTATACAACCACCTCTTTTTTACCTAGGGATTCTCATCCTCCAAATTGGGTCCTTGCCATTCTTTTTGCTGGGGGCTGCATCCGGCAGTCGCACGGAAGCTTGCAAGCGTGACGAACTGCAAGTCCAGTTTGACGGGGAAGGAACCGATGACTCAAGCAAGCGAGTCCTCTTTGCACAGAGAACTTCTGCTTTTCAGGGGAACATTGAGGCAAATCCTTGGCGTCCAAAGGCAGGACAGAATCCAATCAAGGCAAGTGTAGAATTGAAGGAACTTTCGCAGCATTGCTAGTAGACTTCGCGTATGATCATGACTTAATTTGGCTTTGCAGTACTCCACTGCCCCCACCAATTATTTGGCCACGTATACTGGCTTGTTGCCCTTGAAATGCATGCGGCCCTCGTCACATCAACATTCATTTTGGCCGCCGGTTTCCCAGCTGGATGCCAAACAGCACGCGGTTCATGAACTTCCCTTTGTCGGAACTACAAGGTCAGACAGTGGGTCTTTCTCCAGAATTGGGAATCGTCGGCGGCGCATTTTGCACTTTATAAGTGGGGGCTCATTTGTTCCTTGTCAGATGACTTGATTGTGAACTGAATCCTGCTCTATCTGAATGAAGCAAATTTTATGAAGACTTGGACAAACCACCATAGAACTGGAACAGGAGTTTGTCCATCAGGATGGCTATGAGTTTGAAGTGTTGCCGCAGCCTTCATTTTTTTAGCGGCATAAACCTCCCACATGATGTCCATCTGTAGGTGCATTCATCGGCCTTAATATGCAAGCGCCAGAGTATTTGAGGAGTGGTTCGGATTGGGGAGATGCGTTCCCAGTTCTGGGGAAGGTACCGCAAGTGGTTTCCCCTATATATAGAGTACATATATACATATATATATATATATTCGAGTGCATGTGCAAAAGAACAGTCCCTAGGAGATCGCTCCAAAAAAAATGTGCCATCTTTGCCATGGGAGATGGCCTTAGGGCTCAACGGGTTTGTTCCTCGAGAATTCGGCGACGACTTATTGCTTTTGTTTTTCTCCCCGGAAAAAAAAACCAGGGAAACCTTGGTTGTTGAGGGGAAACCAACAGGAAAAACCCGAGGATGTCGCTGGGTCCGCGTCCAAAACCGTTGAAACCGCATCGCCCCCCCGGCGATCGATGCCAGAGCCGCTGGCGGTGCTTGGCCTCGCTTGCCGACTGCCGGGCGCAGCCTCGGTGGCCAACTTCTGGCAGGCCCTGCAGGCGGGACACCGAGGAGGAAAAGCGCGACCGAAAGAAAATGCCGAGGGCACCCCGCGGAGATCGGCCAAAAAATATCCTAGGCCCCCCAGTAGTGCCCTTTTACCCCTCTTTTCGGGGAGGGTTCCCCTACTAAAATAGACTACACGAAAAGGGTACCCTTATTCTAACCTCTCTACTGGAGGACCTAGTATATTTTTATAGCGAGCTCACCGAAAGCCATGACAAAGGTCCTCTACTTGAATATCCAATTCATAATTCTGCTTTTGGAAGTATAGTAAACAGTGCAGATAGGTGCCCTTCTGGTTTGATTTTTACACCAAGTTGGTACCCTCCCTTAACAGCCAAGCACTTTTTTCGGTTGGGGTTCCTCTATGGATCTGCAAGTATTTTATGGTGCGAGCTCACCGCCATGATGCAGGGTCTTTGGGGATCCAATTCAGAATTCATTTTTTGGAATTCTAGTCACATTTGCAGAAATAGGTGTCCTTTTAGTTTCAACTGCTCCGCGGCCTTCAATCGGTGAACCCTTTTTGCTTTTGCTCTGCGGGGCAACCTTGTAAAGACCTTGCTTCCCGCTGGTGCGAGTAGGGAATGAGCTCAAGGAAACCAAATCAGGGACGGTTTTTCTCGAGTCATTCCAATTCTCGTTCCCTGAGAACCAACAAGTTTGATTCACTCTAAAACCAACACCAAAAACCCTCAAACCCTCAAAAACGGCACACCCATGTGGGGTCATTCCCGTTGTCCTTTTCATCGCTTCTGGTTAAGAATAGATGGGTTCCGCTGGTTGAAATTGGCTTTTGTTTCGCCTTATACGAGGGAAATCCAAGTACTCCAAAAGGCCACCTGTGCTTCTTCTCTTAGTGTACTGAATCGTCGAATCCTGCGGGGTGTCACTTGGACCATTTGGGCGGGCAAAAAGGAGGCCTGAAAGGTCCTATTTTCCCTGGTTCAGTTCGCTTTCAAAGGACCAATCATTCCCACAGGGGTTCAAAGGGACCTTTTTGTCTGGGGCGAATTCAAAAGTGCTTGGTTCATGATATGACCAGACCGCGGGTTTTAGTCCTTTCCATTTTACAGGGTGACCCGTGTCGGGTACCTATTTTTGACCCACACCCATATGGCATTGGCAAAGAGGACCCTCTTTTTCTTGCGGGGGTGCCATTCTTTGAGTGACATCGTCAGTGCCAGCTCGCCAGGCGGGAGCGCTCCTGACCACAGAGCTGCGCGTGGCTCCGGGCCAGATTCCCCGCAAAGGCCGATGGAAGATCGACGTCGGGAGGGGGGAGGGGGGAGGGAGGTGGGGGGTGCGGTCGCGAGTGATTTCCCTTTTTGGTGATTTTGAGCATCACTTGTTTGGCCCATTTCCAGTGAGCTTCCCTGCCTAGCGGTTGAAGGGGAACTCGAGCGAACCCTGATCGACCGCTTGGGGCGGCGAATTCTCCAGATTTGCCCAAAAAGGCGCCCCGACAAAAGGCGCCAGCTTTGCCCACGTGGATCATCAATACACGTGGCCAGCAGAGCTTCAAACAGGTTTTTTGCTGACTGAAAAACAAAACAGCAAAGGCCTGTCACTGTGACCTTTGCTCAGAGCTTCAAGCAGGTTTTTTCGCTGACTGAAACTCAAAGACCTCTGTCTATCCGAAGCTCCGCCCAGGGGTGGTGCCAGATCTTGGCTTCGACTGCCATTTCTGGAAGTGCTCCGAGCAGACCGCGGCTCTTTGGCCCGGAGAAAGCGCCAGGTCGGAAGTCGCGCCCGGATTGACGGCCTTTTGGTTTGGGGCAGCCCCCAGAATTTCAGGCAACGAGAAGTGTTTCCCCCCCCCCCCGCCCCAACCCCCCCCCTCCCTATTTTATGAGGAATTCCTACTTTGAGCAGCGGCATTTTCAATGGGCTTTTGGAGTTCTGGAGGTTCTGTACCAACAATATAAGAATATGTACTGCGTTGCAGGCATAGGCAATCCATACCATACCTGGAAATGCTTATTTTGAGCCCCCCCTTTTTTGGCAGGGAAACCACCATCCCGAATTTTGAGAGAGAGACAGCCCTGTTACCCGGTTAGTTTACAGGGAAACCAGCAGGAGAACACCGATTTGGGTTCGTTGCGTTGTTTCCCCATGTGACCGAATCAGTCTCAAGGGTGTGACCGAATCACCCCGACCTTGGGACCTTTTAGAAACGCAGTGGTGTGGTCCCTCTTTTTGGGGGAGCCCCCAAAATCGTGGTGTTCCTTCTGGATTTCCCTTTAACACCGCAAAGAAAGGGTTCCCTCAACAAAAAGACACGCCCAAACGACTTTTCCACGAAACCTAGGACAAACATGATCGACTTGTGGCTCGTTCCGGGGGGGGGCTTGGAGCCACCCACATTTGACAATAAAGAACGACATAGTGCCTTAAAGAGTGAGGGTGTTTACGCCTTGGGGTCCAACCCGATTTTTAAGCGTATTGCCTCCAAATCAGGGATCTATGCAAAAGGTGTGGTGTCCCTGTGGTTTTCCTCAAAGCTCATTTTGGGTCGGAGACAAAGGACAGGACCCTCGTTGTCTCCATTGGAACCCGGCGTTGGGCTCCGGGTTATGCTCAGTTTAAAGCGGAGTGCACGTCCATGCAGGTCGAGGCAGGGGCCCTTCTCTAGCATTGGCACGGTGCCTGGAAGATCAACGTCCTTGAGGAACTCCCTGGTTCTTTGGGAAGGGTACTTGTTTCAGCAGGTGAGTATGGGGATCGAGAAATGACCACCGACCACAGAACCCAGGGGGCCAAAAAGTCAAATTGCCCCGCTTTAAAACCCTGTCCACTTTGCCATACCTGACGTTTCGGTTGGTTTGCTATAAGGTAGGCCAACCTGTGGGTTCCAACGTGGAGGCTCAAAAACGGCCGCGCCAAATCGGAGAGCCGAGGCCTTGATGGACACCACGCAGCGCAGTTTGCTGGAAGTCACCTATGAGGCGCATGCGCCGACTTTTTGTTTGAGCCAATGAGGTTGGCAGCTCGATTTGCTTTGGGGTTTAGCGACCCAATCTGGGTCATTTTCCGTCCGGCGAATTTTGGGATCGATGTTCTTTGGGGTCAACGACCCAAACTGGGTCATGTTCCGTTCACCATGTTCGCTCGCCCAAGTTGCTGTGCGCTTTCAGGCTTTCAGGGTGGCGATTCTCAGGTTGGCAGTGGCCCAGTGTACCCTTTCGATTTTTGGCTTCGAGACTTTGGACCAGGCTGAGGCAAGCATTGGGATCACGACGCACTTGATCGGTCGGCGGATGTTCTTTGTTTTTGAGGCCAGCTGGCAGGGCTGATCTTTGGATTTGTGGAGGACACCCTCAAAAGGTTCCCTTCACCGATGATCACTGAGTGTGTCGACCCGTAGGCACCATGCAGGCTTCCATGAACTTGGGGCTGACCCATATTCATATGGGCCCATGGTCATTACGGGCCGTTTTGGTGACTGGCTGTGCTCGATTAAGCCACAATCACAATCATCTCATACGTAAGAATACACAGCCTTGAACCGCTTGATTGGGAGTTCCCAACTCCTGAAAATAAAACCAGAGTTGAGTTGTCGGAGGTGGAGAGTACCCAACAACTTGCGAATTGAAATGGACTTGGCAGATGCAGGATTAGACATTTCACTGGTGTCGACTTGGGCGAGAAAAGCACAGCACAACTGCCCCCTGTTGGTTCCATCATCCCTTGAAACTTCCCCCCTCCCCCACACATACTCAGTTGTACCAGTGGGCCCCGTTTTTCCTTTTGGGAAGGGTTCCCCTTTAACCTCAACCAAACGGATGCTCTTTGTTTTCCCATGGAAATCCACTGGGCATCTGAGCAGGGGCTTGCGCCCAAATTCCAGGCCTTTGTTGGTGCTGGACTTCATCCTCACGGCAGTCGGATGTCAGGCGGGTTTTGGAAAGAGAACGGCTGCAAGCTCAGATGGATCCAGCGCCGCTGGCCACCCCGGGCAAACAGAATCTCATGGACTGGTTTTACCTGGAAGCCTCAACGTTTTGGAGGGCACCTTTCTTTTCATTGGTGGTTGAATGCGCATGGTTCAGAGAGCGTATGTTGGCAAGCCCCTGGAACAAGAGCTGGCTTGAACGCGCTTCAATGAGAGCCAATATCAGGGTCCAAGTCCAACGCCCGGGTGGAAGGGGAAGGTACTTGGACTTTTGAAAGGAAACTAGCCATTTGAGGGGTGCAACTTGCCAGAGACATTCGTTGTCCTGAGAATGACCAAATATAGTTGTACGCCGCTCCGAACAGAAAGCGAGCCGGACGGGTCGCCGGAATTACAAGAGTTGGAAACCCCCAAAACTTCACATGAGTTTGTTGTAGACCCCAAATCATAGGACACGAAAGTAGTCCTTTTCAATCCGCTCAATGTGAAGCACCAGTCCAGGGTTTACAAATTTATGAATCCTGGATTACCAGGGCAGGGTGCCAGTTGCTTGCCTAGACGACCGGTTTGGAGGCACTATGTGGGTTTGCCTATGGTTGGTCCATGGCCTGCTTATTTAGACCATGCTCCTGTTTTGTCCCGTTATTGTTCTTATTTTTTTCTCCTGGCGTCTACCTTTATGCCGATGTCACCAAGAGACACATGGGCATGTTTGACCGATTGGTAGCCAATGCTAGTCGTTGTGGCTAAACTCTGAAGGAAGGTAGAAGATTACTTGGACTCAGACCGCTTGTTTCTAGTTGGGAATGAAGCCGCCGCGAGCTCCTTGCAGAAAGCGAATGGCTTAGATCATTCTCATCAACGCGGGGCTAAGATAGGCATGATTCTGGCGAATTCCTCGGGTTAAATATGCCTTCTGTTCCGCAAATGGCCGAAGGGCGAGGCTTATCCTCGCTGTTCTTGCGGCAAGTGTCAGAACCAGAGAACCAGAGACCCAGCCTTGCCACTTCGGGAACATTCCTCACCGATAGTGGAGGTCCCTGTTAGTTTTTCCAGAGCCCAGGGAGAGAATCTGCGCAACGGGGTTGGCGACAAGCAACTTTGCGATCAGACTCCGCTTGAGCCGAATCTCGCGGCATGTGGGCAACAACACAAACGAGAAACAACGCCTCCCTCCCTCCCGCCTCCCTCCCTGCCGCCTGCCCATCGGAATGCTTTGTCGTTGCCTCGCGCCGGTTCCCCACACATATGGCACTGCCGGGTTCGAAGGCGCTTTCTTCCAGGTATGAGGAACATGCAAAAAGCGGCTTGGCTGGCCGCTTGTGAACCCCGCGAATCGACCACCAGACTTTGTGATCGAATCGCCGAGATGTGGGAAGCCAGCGGCTCCAGGAGACCTGCAAACGGTCAGGCGACCTTCTGCTCTTGGGGCTGACAGCGCCCATCCTTGACCCTGGCCCAGTGGATGGCCACTCACTTTCTCCGAGGATTTGCGCGTTTTCCCCAAGTTGTATAGGGGATTTTCACTGAACGGATCTCATCTTTTGGGCGAAGAAGCCCATGGAAGCCAAGGAAACCCTCCAGTGAGAAAGTCTTAGGGATTGGCTTTGCGAGTATCACTCGGATTTTTGTTCAAGATGGGGTGCCCTGTCGTTTTTTTTTTTCTTTTCTTCCCCCCCCCCCCGCTTACCGTTTGGCTTCCTTCGGGTGACTCCTCACCAGTTGTCGACGCCCCGCTGCGCGACACCGCGGTCTTTGTGAGCGGCGGCAGCTCTGCTCCAATGGGTTCCGAAAGGGCGGAGACATGTTTCAACCAGAGGACTTGGGGGGCTGCCAGCCATCCGGTTCCGTAGGTTTTTTTTTGTTTAGCTTCTTCTTGGTGGGGGGTTCCATTTTACCCACTAAGAGTTAAGCTTTCAGCGGGGGATCTGAGGACAGGTTGAGAGGAGGATAGGTGGTTCTCCCGAAATGGGACATCTCCAACCAAGGGTTGATGAGACTTTTTTTGGATTGGCGATGAACCAACAGAGATGTCGTATTGGGTGTCAAAAAACTGGGAGAGTGTCTCCCTTGAGCGGTTTGCTAATGAAAGGCTGCCAGAGTGGGGCTCCCTTTATTGTATCAAGCATGGGTTGATGTGCAAGGCATTGTTTCATGGAAACCGCAGCCTTCTTTCTTTCTTAGAGTTTACGGCTGCCTGCCTCTTCAAGCAGAAGGAGAAATTGCCATGGGAAGTCTTTGTCGCAATGGCCGAAATATGTAAATTCTCCATGAATTGGCCGGGTTGTTGGGCTGTGTTGCGCATGTGTTGCATGTGAACATCCGCGCGCACAACTTGCAATTGGAAGACTTGGTGGATTCAGAAGTGAACTGATTGGGTCCAACTGATCGCTTCGAAGCGTCTTCCCAGGGAGACGAGAACCAGCCATCAGCCTCGGACAGAAGGGAGTCCTAAACCCCTTTTGCCCCGTCAATTGAAGCCGAAGGCTTGCCAGAGCCAACAGGGTGGTTTTGTGGTGAAGGCCTTGAACGACTCAGCCTTTGCAACATGGAATTTGGGGGGCGGGAGCCTTGGGATTTGCATCAACGGTGCTTCCAGGTTGGCATCCGACCCGTCTTGGCGATTCATGTTGGGATAGGAGTTACGCGTTGTTGGCCAGCTCCCCTTACTGACTCAGTCTAGTTTAGCCAAGGCAATGTCTGAGGTGGAGCTCGTTCGAAGTAAAGAAACCTTTGAAGGATACCCATTTGTTCATGTGTCTTTGAGGAAGCAGCAAGGAAACTATCCTCTCTCTTTTTTGTTTGCCACAACCTTTTTTCCCTGCAACTATCTTTGAAGGAGCAAACAGGACAAAGCTAAGACACATCTCAACTGTCGAGATCTCGATTTGGCCAGAGATTCTCCAGCAGCTGGGTTCACTCAACTCCCTCCCCCAGTTCTTTTCCCCCATTGGTGTTAATCTTCTCCCCCTTGGCCGAGGAACCCCCCCCCCAGTTTGGACACATGCCGATCTGTGTCTCCCATGTTTTTGGACACTTGCCTACCCCCTCCGGCTTTTCTTCGGACAATCGCCACATGCTTGTTTGTCAAAATAGGGCCGCGCCAAACAGGATGCCCTTGCAGTGTATTTGCAGCAGCAGCAGCAGCAGCAGCAACAGCAGCCACAACAAGAGCAAGAACAAGAGCAAGACCAAGAAGAGAAAGAAGCAGAAGGAGAAGGAGAAGAAGAACAGCAAGGAGGACAGCAATAACACCAATAGTAACAAGAACAAGAACAAAGAAGAACAAGAAGATAAATCCAACACAAGAGCAGCAATAGCAACAATAGCAACAACAAGAGCCACAACACAGCAAGAGCAACAATAGCAACAACAAGAGCCACAAACAAAGCAAGAGCAATAGCAACAATAGCAACAATAGCAACAACGGCAACAGCAACAGCAACAGCAACAGCAACAGCAACAACAACAACAACAGCAACAGCAGCAGCAGCAGCAGCAGCAGCAGCAGCAACAACACCAACACCAACACCAACACCAACACCAACAACAGCAACAACAACAACACCACCGCCACCACCACCACCAACAACAACAACAGCAGCAACAACAACAACAGCAACAACAACAACAACAACAACAACAACAACAACAACAACAACAACAACAACAACAACAACAACAACAACAACAACAACAACAACAACAACAACAACAACAAC